GTGGAGACGTAGTGGTATATACTATATAGGGTAACTAGGTGGATAAATAATGGTCCGTGGGCGCTTGAGACTTGTGGCGCGGAAAAACCGTGACAGTACCCCCCCTCCAGGCCGAAGTGTCCTCACGAGGCTTGAATTCTAATCGTAGATGCGCGGGTGTACGGCTTGTAGGTTCCATTTGGTTTTGGGTATCGGTGTCCGAGTACGTTCCGGGTCATATGTGGTATAGTTGGAAACGTCTTCTTCCTTCACCGGGGTATCCTTGAAACGCATTCGTTGCCAGGGTATTGGCGCATCGTCGAGATAATAATAGCCGTGAGTGCGCTCAGGGCACTGGATCCTTCCTTCTTCTACTATCCACTGGGCGTTGACTGGGTATATAAATAGATGGTTGCGCGACTTGGGGGTTCCTACGAACAAGACCGTGTGGATATAGTGGTCTGGGTTCGCTAGCCAGATGCAAACGATATCGAACTTCTCGGGTAGCCCTATTTCTAGGCCGATTGGGGTATCGAGGGGTACGTGAAGTACGACATGGGCTTGGAACTTGCGTTTATACCATCGTATCATTTTGTGATCCCAGTAGATCTTTTCCTTCCACTCTTCTTCTTCTTCTTCTGTCATCTTTCCTCCTTTACTGTCAGGTTCGTCGTCGCTTTCTTCGTCTTCTTGAGCGCGGATCCTTTGACCACCGGGTATAGTGAGGAGATTAGGCGGTTTCGGCGCCTTGGGATGTAACTTATGGAAGTTATTAAGTAGTAGGATGTAGTCCTTTGCTATTGTAGAGCGGGGTATCCAGGTGTTCTCGGTGTCGTCCTTCCCCTTCCATTTAACCAGGTATAATAGTCCAGTTTTGGACTTTTTGCTGTCAAGGATTTGGCTAATGGTAGGGGATTCGCCTTCCGGAACGGATATAGTAGTATCGTCCTTTTGTACACTAAATTGTGCAGGGTGATAGGGTATTAATAAAGATTCGTGGAAGACGGGGTGTATATGACGCCAAGCGGGTGGGAGCTTGAGTCTGAATGCCGACTTTCTGACCTTTTCTACTATACTAAATGGTCCGTAACGTTTATCGTCCAGCTTCTTGCTTGGTCGAGTGGTTGTAATATTAGTTCCTTCTAATAGTACCAGATCGCCTTTGGTATAGGCCGCATGTTCCGGGTATTTGCCATCGTGGTACTTCTTCATTATTCCTTTAGCTTTGGTAAGGTGATTAGTTGCGTCCTTGGAAAGTTCCTCCATCTCTTTCGTCCATTCTTCGGCCGATTGGTTGCGGGGTTCTTTCCTGGTTTCGACTCCCGTGTAGGGATGGTATCCGTGCGTAAGGTAAAACGGGGTATAACCGGTGCTTGCTTGTCTATGGTTTCAGTATGCGAACATAGCAAGGGGTATCTTGGAAGGCCAGTCGTCCTGTCTATAAGAAGTGTATATTCTTAAGTAGGTCTCTATTTCCTGGTTCATCCGTTCAGTCTGCCCATCCGTCTGAGGGTGGTAGGCAGTAGAAGGATTTCCTTGGACGCCCAACTGTTGGTATACATCCTTGGTAAATGAGGATACAAACTGTGGTCCCCTGTCGGACCATATCCTTTCTGCTAGTCCGTGTGCCGACATTACATGTTTAATGTACAAGTCTGCATAGTCCTTCGAGTTAATCGACTCCGTGCAGGGTATAGCGATGAAGTCTTTTGACTTTAAATCCACAAATACAAGGATGGAGTCGTACCCGTCTACAGTAGGTAGTTTTACAATAAGGTCCGTGGAGATGTACTGCCAGTTATGATCTGGAACTGGGTTTGGCTCTAATGGTGCTGATCGATGTTGGCGGTTAGGTTTGGCCTTTTGACAGGTCCCACAACCTTTCACATACGCCGTAACATCTTTGATCATCTCCGGCCACCAGTACGATCGCTTAATTAGTTCCATGGTCCTTTCTATTCCTGGGTGTCCCATGAACGCGGCATCGTGGTGGGACTGTATTACTTTGCCGATTATTTCTTGGTTATTTGGAATTATGAGAATTTCACCCCCCCTCCAGAGTGTGCCGTCCTCGGCTGACTCGAGCTCCTTTTGAGGCAAAGTTTTCCATAATAAATATTCAGAAGAATGTATGGCGCAGAGGTCGCGGATGGCATCTGTCCCTACAACTTTGGTGCTTCGGAACAACTCGGCAGGTAATACGACCTGATTATCCAAGTGATCCATACCGTCGTCGTAGTCTGGTCGTCTGCTAAGAGCGTCTGCTGCGCTGTTTTTCTTGCCTGGGATATGATGGAGTTCGAAGTCGTATTCAGCGAGGAAAGACATCCATCGTGCTTGTCGGGGGTTGATCTTCTGGGGTTTCCTAAAGTAAGTCAGATTAAGGTGATCAGTGAAGATCTGTACAGTATGCTTGGCATGTATTAGGTAGTGTCGCCATTCTTCTAGACAATCTACAATAGCGAGAAGTTCTCTATCGTACACTTGATAGTTCTTCTCGGCGTCCTTGAACGACCTACTGTAATATGATACTGGTACCCAAAGATTATCTTGCTTCTGCATAAGAACTGCCCCGAGGGCGAATTGCGAAGCATCTACTTCTATCATAAACGGGTCCTCGTCCGTAGGTATGTGTACAATTGGGGCCGATGTAAGGAGGTCCTTGAGACCTTGGAAGGCACTTCGTTCAGTGTCCGTCCATTCCCATTCTCGGTTACCCGTAAGGTCCGAAAGAGGCTTGGCTAAGGAGCCGAAGCCTTTCACAAAACGTCTATAATAATTACAAAATCCGAGGAACTGTTGAACGTCCTTCTTGGACCTGGGTTCTGGCCATTCTGCAATGCCAGCAACCTTTGCGGGGTCCATGCGAAGTTTCCCATGGCCAATGATGTGACCTAGGTACTCGGTTTCTTCAACATGGAACTCGCACTTCTCAGGTTTGCACGTCAACTTGTGTTCCCGGAGTATTTTAAGTACTTGTTTTACAACCTGGCGATGTTCCTCCATGTCCTTGGTGAATATTAAGATATCGTCCAGGTATACCATAACCTTCCCGGTGAGGATTAGGTCGTGGAAGATGTCATTCATCATCATTTGGAACGTTGATGGTGAATTAGTGAGTCCGAAGAACATCACTAGAGGTTCGAATAGACCTCGGTTCGTGACGAACGCGGCCTTTTCCTCATCTCCTTCCTTGATCCTTATGTTATTATAGCCCCACCAGATGTCGAGCTTAGAGTAGTACCGGGCTCCCTTAAGCCGGTCGAATAAATCATTGATTAGAGGGAGCGGGTATTTATTTTTCTTGGTTACTTCATTGAGCCGTCTATAGTCCTGAACCGGCCTTAACTTGCCATCCTTTTTCTTGACAAAGAAGAAGGGGGCGCCCCAGGGGGATTTAGACTGTCGAATGCGACCAGTCTTGAGGTTTTCTTCAAGGAATATATCCAGAGCTTCCTGTTCTTTTACGCTCATTGGATATACCTTTCCGCAGAAAGGTTTCGCGCCGTCTACTAGTTCTATGGCGTGATCCCATACTCTGCGTTCAGGAAGCTGATCGAATTCAGTCTCCTCGAAGACTTCCTTATAATCCCAGTATTCTTCTGGAACTACTTCTTGCATGCTCTTGGCTTTAGTACTTTTGCCTTGAGCGATGGCTAGGTCAGTGGCCTTGGTGGCTCGTATGTGTTCGTATTCGGAAAATTGTTTCCGAATGTAGTCGCTGTCCAACGCCAGCACCTTATCCCCATCTTCTAACTTAAGCTCTCCGCAGTTACAACGCGTGAAGCGAAGCGTGCGTTTAGCCCAGTCGATATCAGGGTTGTGATCTTCCAACCAATCGAACTCGAGGAACATGTCGTGGTCCGAAAGGGTAGTCACATTGAATGATCGGCGCTCTCTATGGCCTTGGATAACTATATCTAATAGTACATAGTGGGTCATGTCGCCATCTCGGTTGGGGGTCCCATCCGCGTTGAACACTCGGAGTGGTCGATCGAACGGTATTTTAGGTATCTGGAACTTAGATACGAATTGTTCGTCGATACAGCACCCGGTGCAACCTGAGTCTAGAAGGGCTTTGGCGGGTATATTCCTATCCCCAACTTCT